TTCTGACACTTGGTGAGTTCCCTGGAACTCCAGGGACACATATTTATGTATAAAAGACGTACAAAAGTGCATTTTGCATGATAGGTCACCTTTAAGAGAAGTTCATTCTTATTTTATAGCAGTCTTGCTGAGTCTAATTTGTTTAAGGTAGGACTGGACTGATTGTCCTTTATTTTACATTTAAGTTTCTACTGAGGTTTTATGCACAATTAAGTTATTAATCAGATTAAAGGTATTAGTCTTTTTTATTATATCCACTTTCTTTATGTATTTTAATAATAAAGCGGACAACAGCCATACCTGGGAGGTTGTGGGGTCCTCTTACTTTTTTTTAATGGACACATCAAAATCTCTTACATGCTTAGACAAGAGCATTTAAGGTTAAGTGCATAACATTAAACCTTTGAAAACCTCAAATGCACTCTTCACTACCTCGTAAAACAGGCCCACTTTTACAGGCTGTGGTTTTACTGGGGGGCCGCAGCTGTGAGAGATTTTAAGAAGATGTATGTGTGGAACAGATGTGACATAGATGATATCATGGTGTGTGCTGTCATTCAGAAAGCAGAGTCAGGAGGTCAGGTGGAGCTGACAGCAACAGTAACAGATCAGCCTGATGTCAAAAGGCATCTCTGTGGTGATAGTTGTTGTAAACAGAGCCGACCTCTGACCTTTGGGATTTGCATGTTAAAGCTGAGATGAGAGATGAGAGAGGAGAAAGTAGCCCTGTACATGCTATGGAGGAATGTTATTAGGGTGAGAAAGGGAAACATGTGTGTATGTGAGTCACTGAAACATCATAAAAAAGACCACACTGTGTTCTTTGCTCTTCTTTTCCATGCCTACAGATGAGTAGTGAGCACATAGAGAGGTGTGTGTACAGCTTACTTACGGGATGCCAATCTCAAAGATGTTGTTCTGGATGAGCTGCTTCCCCAGCATGATGATGCTGAGCTGGATGCAGAGCTCGATGAGGCAGCCTCCAGGTGCACACTGAGGGACACACACACTGGTCCATGAGTTATTTATGTGTTAGGCCAGAGAAGAAAACAAATATAAAGTAGGATAACAAACCTCTTCCATCCGATAATCATTAAAGACGTACACGTAATTTCCGGGACGACCAGCAAACCTGCGAGTAAACACCCACACACGCACAACAAAGATTGAGAAGCTTCCATTAGTAATGTGAAAGAAGCACATGAGACGCTTTTGGAGGAATACATGTCTTTCAAAGGTAAGTGGTTCACACGCTCATGCAGGACGTACCGCCCCTTGAAGAAAGCCACGTAGAAGATGGGTGCGTATGCGTTCATGAATTTCAGCAAGAAGGCCTTCAGGATGAGACGCTCCTCAAAGTGGGTTTCTGTTTTGGGAATCTCTGAAAACAGGAGAAGTGAAAGAGATTTGGTATGATCTGGTTTGGAAAGGTCAGTTAGCGGGCTGGAGGGAATGTTGAAGGAGAAACGAGCACAATTCGTTTTTAAGTACATAGATGTTAAATGATTTCTACACTGTGGTTTTAGGTCCAGGAAAATATCGGCAGAGCATTAAGTGTGTGTCAGTTTGAGTCATAACAGGATCACTGTGCTGGAAGGAGGTTAAAGTAATAGCACTCTTCACATGGCATCACACACACACACACACACACACACACACACACACACACACACACACACACACACACACACACACACACACACACACTTTCCCTCTTTCTCACACTTCTTCCCATTCTTTTCCTCTACTCTAGAGGTTTTGAATATGGATGTAGAAGTAGACATGATTAGAACCTCCTGGGAAGACTGATGGGATGACTGAAGCATGAAAACATAAAAGTTTCATTAAACTGTCCTACACACACACACACACACACTCTCTCACACACGAGTATGACTATGAACATTATCACATGTAAATCTGCTGACTGTTA